GGTTTCTGAAAATTCTTGGCTCGCAAAATGCCTTTGGGGGCGGCGGTATTTATTATATGGGTCGGAGACATCCGCCATTATCGTTTTCTTGTTATTGGGCTGTCTTGAGTTGTGGACCCTACACTTTATTCTCCAATTGGATGAGCCGATCCATTTTTTTTTTCAAATTCTTATTTTTTTTTTAAATTGTTGTGTCTGATGAGCAGCTCGTGAGCTCGGCTCGGCTCGGCTCGATTCGACTTGTTTAATTAATGGGCCGAGCTCGAACTTATTTAAAGTTCGTTTAGTTAACGAACCAAACCAAGAAGGCTCGAGATGATGAATTTATGTAATTTTCTATACATCAATTTGTTAAGGCTCGAGTTGGGCTCGTTAATGTTAATAAACGAGCCGAACACGAACTCGTTAAAGGTTTGAGCTTGAACTAGGTGCGGCTTAGCTCATTTACAACCCTAGCAGTGTAAGACATAACAATAGTTAGTTGGATAAAATGAGCCAGTCGTTTAGTTGATGACTCGAGGCTTGTTTCGACTCGATAAAGCTTGAAACAAAAGTTTTATGTAATGTTTTATAATTTAGCTCGTTAAAAGCTTAGGTTCAACTTGTTTATAATCCTATTAATAATACTTTTTAAAATACATACTTATATTATGAATCGTCTCGCTTTTCTGCTCACAATGGACACGCTGGAAACGAGTTATAGATCAACTGACTGGTGTGGTCGAAAATTATCATACATACCGTAAAAACATCGTGAGATCTTAGACATGTGGCATGCACATTTCAATGTATCACAGTTGGTCAATAAGAAAATTATGCATATTCTAAAACGTCAAACTTGCATTTATGTTTCATTTTACAGTATAACGTTTCAATTTGAAAATATACATAATATTGAAAAGGTAAAGTAGATAATTATTCACAACGAAGCACAACTTGAGTGGTAAGAAGCTTCACCTATGACTCTAGGTCATGGGTTCGAGTCACCAATTGTACCATATCTGAATGCTCTTACTTTAAATTTTTAAAATTTAAGTGGATGATCCACAATTGTACTATTCAATTGCTATGCCCAAACTTCCCATATAATAGTATTTTCTTTCAATTTATTGTCTTCACATATTCTTATGTCAATGGAGGAGAAAGAGACCAAGAGATATAAGAACATTTATAAAGATATT